TTTTTTTTTTTTTTTTTTGAGTTGGAGTCTCATTCTGTCGCCCAGGCTAGAATGCAGAGGCATGCTCACAGCCACCCCAGCGTTGACCTGCTAGGCTCAGGCAATCCTTCTGCCTCAGTCTTCCAAGTAGCTGGAACTACAGGCACGCTACCACGCCCGGATAATTTTTTCATTTTTTATTGTAGAGATGAGGCCTCACCAAGTTGCCCAGGCTGGTCTCGAACCCCTGGGCTCAGGCAATCCTCTCATCTCGGCCACCCAAAGTACTAGGATTACAGGCTTGAGCCACCGCACCCAACAAGTTATATTTTAAAGTGTTATAAATAATCAGGTTGGGTGCGGTGGCTCACATCTATAATCCCAGCACTTTGAATGGCCAAGGTGGGAGGATTATTTGAGCTCAGGAATTTGAGTCTAGCCTAGGCGACATAGCAAGACCTCGTCTATACAAAAAAATTTTTTAAATTAGCCAGGCATGGTGGGACATGCCTGTAATCTCAGCTACTTGGGAGGCTGAGGCAGAAGGATCGCCTAAGCCCAGGAGATTGAGGCTGCATTGAACCATGATCGTGCCACGGCACTCCAGCCTAGGCAGCAGAGTGAGACTCCAACTCAAAAAAAAGTGCTACAATTAAATTTTAGTACACCTGCAGTTTGGAATTTGGGAAAGGGTTTACCTTGAAAGTTGTGACCTCCATGCCCAGGATCTTGGAATAAAACATTGCGGTGTCGTTGATGCTCTTTACTGTCATCACAATGTGATCAAGTCTACGAATAAGACATGGTGGAGCAGTCCGACTGCTGTCCCTCCATGACTAAAAAAATAAATCAGAAAAAACACATTGCCATCGGTCACTCCCATGTTCTCTTCTCCTCACCTCCCCAGTTACTATACTTCCTCCTCACTCCCATTTAAAGGAGTAAGTCTAGAAAAAAAAATGTTGGTAGATTCCAGACCCGCCTGGGCAGCAAGACCTCATCTCTACAATAAATCAAAAAATCAGCCGGGCGTGGTAGCGTGTGCCTGTAATTCCGGCTACTGGGAAGGCTGAGGCGGAAGGATCGCCGGAGCCCAGCAGGTCGAGCTGCAGTGGCCGGGAGCGGCCACTGCACTCCAGTCTGGGCGACAGAGTGAGACTCCAACTCAAAAAAAAAAAAAAAAATGTTGGTAGAGATTCATTGTCCACACGTGGATTCACAGGTCATGTCTGTCATGACCACTCTCCACTGTTTGTTTTCTTGTTCTCTTTCTCCTTCCCGAAGGATCAAGGTAGAGATCTGGGGAATGGAGACCAAGACAAATCCCCCCTTGTTGTCCCCAAACTGAAATGCATCTCTTTTCCAAGAAATGACAAGACACAGGGAGACCCGACACTATGAGAACAAGCCCTCCAATGGCCAGTTTATCTATCCAGCACCCTCCTTTCCCATTCTGCAGCTTTGATCACAGAGGCCAGGACAAGAAGGGAACATTTCAGAGGAAATAAATGTTTCTGGGCATGTGTGTCTACAGATCCACCTTGACAAACCCCTTCCACTTCCCACCCTCACCACACTGCCCACCAGATCTTTCTCTTGACTTTTATTCTTTAGTAATTTGTATATTTACAGGACATCTGCCACAGGATTATAAGGTGCCTGTGGGCTGGCACTATAGGTAATATAGTAGTTAAAAGAATAGACTCTGCCGGGCTCGGTGGCTCAGCTTGTAATCCCACGCCTTTGGGAGGCTGAGGTGAGTGGATTGCCTGAGCCCGCGGGTTCGAGACCCGCCTGGGCAGCGAGACCTCATCTCTACAATAAATAAAAAAAAAATCAGCTGGGCGTGGTATCACGCGCCTGTAATTCCGGCTACTTGGAAGGCTGAGGCGGAAGGATCGCCGGAGCCCAGCAGGTCGAGGCTGCGGTGGCCGGGAGCGGCCACTGAACTCCAGTCTGGGCGACAGAGTGAGACTCCAACTCAAAAAAAAAAAAAAAAGAATAGACTCTGAGCTAGGTGTCACAGTTTATGCCTGGAATCCCAGTACTTTGGGAGGCCAAGGTGGGAGGATTGCTTGAGGCCAGTTCGAAACAAGTCTGGGCAACATAGCCAGACTTTGTCTCTAAAAAAAAAAAAAAAATAGCCATGTTGGTAGAATACACCTGTAGTCTCAGCTACTCGGGAGGCTGAGGCAGAAGGATTGCCTGAGCTCAGGAAGCTGCGGTGAGCCATGATTGTGCCACTGCACTCCGGCCTGGGTGACAGAGTGAGACCCTGTCTCAAAAAAAGAAAACAAAAAGAATAGACTTTGGAGCCAGACTGACATTTAATTTATCTGGTTTTGGTTTCGCCTTCTGTAAAATGGGAATGATTTCATGCATATCTTATTCTTGTAAAGCATTATCTTATGATTTTTTTTTCTTTTTATTCCTTTTTTTTTTTATTGCTGGAGACCACCTCCAGCTGGGTCAGGGTACCCCAAAGGTGGAGACAGCACCAGCGATTGGGGGGAAGAAGAAAGAGAGAGAGAGAGAGAGAGAGAAAGAGACTGGACCCCAGTCTAGTGCAGAAGCCGTATCTTATGATTTTATATATACCTTATTCCTGTAAAGATTTTTTTTAAAAAAAGAGTTGTGTTTGTAAGGGCTGCTCATAATATCAAGTGCTATAAAAGGGTCGATAATGATGGTGATGGTAGTGATGATGATAATGTTGTAGTTGTTTTACAATCCAGACTTCTTACCATCACCCCCAATCTCTACAGTCACATCTATTGCTCTTTTTTTTTGAGTCGGAGCCTCACTCTGTTGCTCAGGCTGGAGTGTAGTGGCATGCTCACAGTCACTACAGCCTCAACCTACTGGGCTCAGGCAAGCCTTCTGCCTCAGCCTTCCAAGTAACTGGAACTACAGGCGTGCACTACCACGCCCGGCTAATTTTTTGATTTATTGTAGAGATGAGGTCTTGCCAAGTTGCCCAGGCGGGTCTCGAACCCGCAGGCTCAGGCAATCCACTCACCTCAGCCTCCCAAAGGGATTACAGGCTGAGCCACCGAGCCCAGCTCTATTGCTCTTGAATGCCAAGCCATGCTGTTCTTCTGCCTGTTCCTCATAAGGATCACCCTTCCACCTGACGCCTCAGGGCCTCTGCAGATGTGAATGCCTGTCTCTCAGACTAAAATGTAAGCTTCATGAAAGTAGAAACTTCTCTCTGTTTTGTTCTCCACTGTCTCCCAAACAACTAGTTCAATGATATTTGCTCAATAAATGAATACCTACTACAACAATTAGGTACAGTCTTGCCACAAAGGTTGACTGATGTCGATTTGATTCAATTCTATTAGAATCCATTCCATTCTATTCTATTCTACCCATGTTATGTTATTGTTTTCTATTCCACTGCATTTACTTCCATTCAAACCATCACATTTTATTTTATTTTTTTGAGTTAGGTTCTCACTCTGTTGCCCAGGCTGGAGTATAGTTGTATGATCATGACAATCACAGTAGCTCACAGCAGCCTTGACCTCCTGGGCTCAGGAGATCCTTTATCCTCAGCATCCCGAGTAGCTGGGACTACAGATGTGTGCCACCAACCTGGCTATTTTTTTTTTTTTTTTTTGAGTCAGAATCTCACTCTGTCGCTCAGGCTGGAGTGTGGTGGCATGCTCACAACCACCGTAGCCTTGATCTGCTAGGCTCAGGCGATCCTTTTGCCTCAACCTTCCAAGTAGCTGGGTCTACAGGCATTCACTACCAGGCCAGGCCAATTTTATGATTTATTGTAGAGATGAGGTCTTGCCAAGTTTCCCAGGCTGGTCTTGGACTCCTGAGCTCAGGCAATCCTCTCGTCTCCACATCCCAAAGTGCTGGGATTACAGGCATAAGTCACCACACCCGGCTGATTTTTTTTTTTTCTACAAGGTCTTTATGTTTCCTAGGCTGGTCTTGAACTCCTGGGCTCAAGCAATCCATCTGCCTTGGTCTCCCAAAGTGCTTGGATTACTGCCATGAGCCACTGCACCTGGCCTCAAACCAGTACATTTTAAACAATTGATCTCACTGAGCCCCACTAAAAAATATTGTGTGGTTCTATGTTCATGAGTGGAGGAGGCATTTACAAACTTGCTGAGTTCTACTGTCCTCGTGGATACAGAAGATCCACATAGACACAGAGGCAGTCGGATGAGAAGATGTCTGACATTGGGGATCCATTGAAATTAAAGTTGCAGGTTAAAAAAAAAATCTCGGGCAACCCCTTCAGGTTCCCTCTCACTGTAGGAGCTTTTCTGTGCTCTCAATAAAGCCTGCTTTCTAAAAAGACAAAAACAAAAAAAACTCAGTAACTTCTGACATCCGTAGACTCTGTCATAACACCCCCTTTTCATTCCTGACATCAGGAAGTTATAATTTTTCTCTTAAATTTCTTAAGAGAAAACAAACATTACTAATATTTTATTAATCTGTTAAAGAAAACCAATTTTTGCCATTGTTGACTTTCTCTACTGTATATTTCCTTTCTATTTCACCAGTTTATGTATGCTCTTATAATTTCCTTCTTTCTACTTTTTCAGGGTTCAATTTCCTGTAACTTTTCCAGCTTCTTGTTAGGGAAGCTCAGGTCACTGATTTTCAACTTTTCTGCTTTTCTGATCCATGCATTTAAATTTTTTAAAATTTGTTACCCAGATTGGAGTGCAGTGGTGTGATAATAGCTCACCACAGCCTCAGACTCGCAGGTTCAGCCGGGTTCGGTGGCTCAGCCTGTAATCCCACGCCTTTGGGAGGCTGAGGTGAGTGGAT